TAAATGAATTCATTTTGAATTCAGAATATTTTAATGAATTCTACAGGTTGTCATAATATGAGCTAAATGAATTCTTAATGAATTCATAATCTCATCAGGTTATGTCATGTGTCTTGAGTTCGCAAAGAATTCTTAAAGAATTCTTTTAAAGAAACTTTTTATTACTTTTGTGGGGAGAGCTGCTGAAAGACCATTAAAAAGAATTCATTTAAAGTTCATTAAGAATACATTGATCATTCTTTAGTACATGCAATGAATTCATTTACTGTCCCTAACGAATTCATTTAAAAAAATATTAGTACATACTTTTTATCAATTTGCTATACAGTAACAACAGAAAAAATAATTTTTGCATCATATTTATTTTCTAATATTTTTTCAACATGTAACAAATGTTAGAATCTCTATGTTTCGAATATAATTATATTATATGACTACGAATATAGTGTAACTTTAAACAAATCATAAATTTATAAAATAGCACTTATCGTTTTACTTATCAAATATGTTGTAAACATAAATCACATAAATTAGTTACAGCATTGACGGATGTTTAAACTACAAACTACTCATCAATTAACATATAATGACTACTTTCTTATAATGTAGAGCGAGTATACAAACTTCTGATAAACGGTTGTTTGTTCGCTTGTACCTAATTCGGTGTGAGATCTAGCAAATCATTGCCAGAGATTAGTAGGGAGATTGCGCTGACTGCCATGCTACGGAGTGTGCCCACTTTTTTCCAGTGGTTCGAGCGCCCCGCCGCGGCCAAGCGGCCGAACCAGGCGCACATTTTTTTTTTATTAGAGCAGCACGGTAGGGGTATGAGAAGAGTGGATTCGCGTGGAAATGTCCATATAGGCGCACATTTTAGAGACCCGTGGAAGGGGTATACCGAATGTGCGCCTACGAGGAGAGGAGTGGAAATGTCGGCTATATAGCTGTATGTATCTGAACGCACAGCCAAAGCAAGCGACGATACGAGTTTTTCTTTTTTGAGAGTCTTTGGACTCTGCAACTGAGTACATGCTATATGTATATATTTAACTGACTTGCTCTCGCTCTGGCTTCAATGTTATCCATAAATCTTATTTAATTAAATCGTGGAACTAAATGCTCATTAATTATATACACA